GGGTTTCACCGTGTTAGCCAGGATGGTCTCGATCTCCTGACCTCATGATCCGCCCGTCTCGGCCTCCCAAAGTGCTGGGATTACAGGCTTGAGCCACCGCGCCCGGGCCTGTTTGTTTGTTTTTGAGACGGAGTCTCGCTTTTTTGCCCAGGCTGGAATGCAGTGACGCGATCTCAGCTCACTGCAACCTCCCTACTTCAAGCGATTCTCCTGCCTCAGCTTCCTGAATAGCTGGGATTACAGGTACCTGCCACCACGCCCGGCTAGTTTTTGTATTTTTAGTAGAGACAGGGTTTCACCATGCTGGCCAGACTGGTCTCGAATTCCCGACCTCAGGCAATCCGCCCACTTCCGCCTTCCAAAGTGCTGAGAATACAGGTGCGAGCCACCGTGCCTAGCCTAATTTTTGTATTTTTAGTAGAGATGGGGTTTCACCATGTCGGCCAGGCTAGTCTCAAACTCCTGACCTCAGGTGATCTACCCACGTTGGCCTCCCAAAGTGCTGGTATTACAGGCGCGAGCTGCCGTGCCAGGCCCACAGCTGGTTTTTAACTGAAGAAAACTCCACTTCCACAGACCTGAAACTCAGGTGAAGCATAAAATTAGGTTCTTGTTTGAGTCCCTCGATAGACAGATTTCTCCTTCTGGAGGTAACAAGTGGAGCAGTCATGAGTCCGAGGGAAGGAGGGCCTTTCTGGCTTTCCCGAGGCCAGGGTTTTTAATCTATAATTAAGTCTTTCCTTTGTGATTGGGTGAAATAGAAGCAGCCTAGCCTCAGGGACCCCAGTCTCTGGCAGACCCCCGCAGCCCCGTGTAAACTTTTTGTGCCTCTGGCCAAAAGACCTTAGTTGTATGTGTTTCATGTCGTGAATTCTTTTTTTAATTTTTTTTGAGACGGAGTCTTACTCTGTCCCCAGGCTGGAGTGCAGTGGTGGGATCTCAGCTCACTGCAACCTCCGCCTCCTGCGTTCAAGCGATTCTCCTGCCTCAGCCTCCCGAGTAGCTGGGACTACAGGTGCCCACCACCACACCCAGCTAATTTTTGTATTTAGTAGAGACGGGGTTTCACCATGGTGGTGGTCAGGCTGGTTTCAAACTCCTGACCTTGTGATCCGCCTGCCTTGGCCTCCCAAAGTACTGGGATTACAGGCATGAGCCACCGCGCCTGGCCCATTTCGTGAATTCTTAGACAACCCTGACAAATGGACCCTGGAAATCCCAGAAGCTGCCCTACCTGGCTACTGTTGCTTGTGAGGTGAGGGGCAGAGCCCCTGGCAGGCGTTTCGGGAAACCTAAGGCTTTGCTCTCAGCTACTCGCATGGTTGGGCTGTGTGAGGTGACCCCTACCCTCCTGGCCTCAGTGGGGCATGGTGCCCGGGCCTGGTTGGTCCCTCAGATGTGTGGTTAGGCTGTGTCAGTCCGTGTTCTGCTGCTGTAACAGACCACCACAGCTTGGGTAATTTACAAGGAAAAGAGATTCATGTGGCTCCTAGTTCTGGAGGCTGGGAAGCCCCAGACCAAGGGGCACATCCATCGAGGGCCTCCCCACTGCGTGATTCCATGGTAGAAGGCAGAAGGGCCGAGAGGAGGTGCCAGAGCGGGGGAAGGGGCCCAACCCATCCTTTTCATGAGGAGCCCACTGTGGAGACAATGGCGTTAGTCTACTCCAGAGAGCAGAGCTCTCAAACCTAATCACTTCTTTTTTTTTTTTTTCTTTTCCCCAGACAGACATCTGTTCTGTAAAATGAAGTACACATGTATCGTT